CAGTGACGTATGCATTGCAGTGCCTGCTGTCCAGGGGATACAAAGTCTCGGACCGTGTCCTGCCGTCGTTTTTCTCCAACTTGGAAGCCGCCGTAAGACAAGACCCAATCGCCACAGCTGCCGCTCTCCACCAGGTGGCAGACGGTTGGGTCGACAGGGACTGCTTCTGTGACTTGGAAGCGGCATTTCTAACAGAGCTGGATGTGGCGCGTACTGTGGGGAGCCAAAACGACGCGGACGACCTCCCCGACCACTACGTCTACGCGAGGAAGGTGGTGGTCACGCCCACTCAAATGCTGTTCCTCAAACCCGAGCCCATCGTCGAGAACAGGGTGGTTCGAGAATACGGCGTCGACAACTTCATCCGTGTCGCTTTTCGAGACGAAGACTTCAACAAGCTAACAGCTCCGAACCCCAACTCCATCAAGTGCGTGACTTCACGGGTGAAGGACGTCCTACAGAGAGGAATCAGGATAGGAGGACGCCAGTTCGAGTATCTCGGTTCCTCCAACAGCCAGATGAGGGAGCACGGGTGCTGGATGTACTCGGCTGCGGGCGGGATGACGGCGGCGGCGATCCGCGGCTGGATGGGGGACCTGTCCCACGAGCGCTGCGTGGCCACGTACGTCTCACGGCTGGGCCAGTTCTTCTCCTCGTCTCGGGATGCAGTCAAAGTTAGCGTCGAGGACCGGAGCGTCGCCTTGATCGGTGACGTCATGTCAAGTTCCAGGGAATACACGTTCTCCGACGGCATCGGAAAAATCTCCGTCCCACTTGCTGAAAAGGTAGTGTTGTGTTTGCGTTCTTTCATATGGTTAAAACGTGGCTCTATGTTGAACTTAGGAAGTACACTGTACATGTACAATGTTTCTAATACTTTCAGACAGACACAACTCAGCTGTTGTATATCCCCGGGTAATATCAATCTTGGGCACATTTCATACTAGGTCTTGGGCTTGGGAATCTGTTCATATGAGATGCTGACATTTCGATAGGTCGCGGATGCTCTGGGCGTCTCTCCTGTCCCTTCTGCCTTCCAAATTCGGTACGGCGGCTGTAAGGGCGTGCTGGCGCAGGACCCCACCCTGGGCGACACGGACCTCATCCACATTAGGGACAGCATGAAGAAGTTCGACTCCGAGCACAAAACTCTCGAGGTGACGTCCGTCACCACCCCAGGTGAGGAAATTACTCCCATTCTCAAACATGTATATGACCCACATTCTCAACACATAGAGAAAATGTCAGAGAAGATTATCTGCATTCTGACTCCTATGATAAGAGTGATGACACCCGTGTCCTACAGGTGCCCTGAGTCTGAACAGACAGGCCATCACGCTGCTGTCTGGTCTCGGCGTGCCCGACGCGGAGTTCTTCAAGTTACAGGAGCGCGTGCTCAACCAGCTGGCGGAGATGCTGCTTCTGGACGCCGCGGCTGTCAAGGCGCTGTCTGGCGCCCGGGTGGGCATAAAGTAAGCAAGGATTCAGTCAAGTAACGGTATAAGTCTGAAACATTGAACTAGAAGTTGAATGATGTTTAAGATACGCATTGTAAAACCTTACATTTGTCGAGTCATCCATTACTTTGGTGACTGCTGAAGGCTTCTTAGAATGTCCAGAGAGAATGCTGAATTGATGACGTCGTTTCTCTAACCAGAGAGACTAAACAGATCTTGTCCTCCTCTTGTAGTTTCCAGGCCCTCCACAACAGCGGCATCTCGCTGACGACGGAGCCGTTCTTCCGGTCGATGTTGTTGGCTGTCTACCGGAATCAGATGGGGGAACTCCTCCGGCGTACCCGGATACAAGTAAGGGAGAATTAGGACGTCATAAATAGTACAATTGATGTGATTCTATGGATGTAACCGAATAATATTTAACAAACAACAACAAAATGTATAGTTTTTAGAACATATGACATTTGAGGGCACATAGAACGAGGGTAGTATATTCCTTTTACCTAACCTCAGCTAACGGTTTTGTGACACCTGATTTCAGCTCCCTGCTGGGGAGGGCCGGATCATGATGGGGACGATGGACGAAACCGACAGGTTGCAGTACGGACAAGTTTTCCTCCAGTACTCTCGGGACACAGACAAGGCACAGGCAGAGAAAGTCGTCCACGAAGGTCAGGTCACCGTCACTAAGAACCCCTGCTTCCACCCCGGGGACATGCGGAAGTTCACGGCCGTGGACGTACCGGAGCTCCGCCACATGGTCGACTGCATCGTCTTCCCGTCGCGTGGACGCCGCCCCCACCCCGACGAGATGTCCGGGTCCGACCTGGACGGCGACATGTACTTCGTGACGTGGAGGGAAGGCCTTATCCTACCGAGAGAGAACGTCCCAGCCATGGACTTCACCGCGCAGCCGAAGAAGGTTCTTTGCCGGCCCGTCGACGTGTCGGACATGATCGAGTTCTTCGCCGAGTACATCAAGAATGACCAGCTGGGGCTGATCGCGAACGCCCATCTCGTCCATGCAGACAAGGAGACTAATGGCATCTTCTCACAGAAGTGTAAGGAACTGGCGCAGCACCATTCAGACGCGGTTGACTTCCCGAAGACTGGCCAGTGCCCCGAGCTGAAGGGAGATCTCAGACCCGACAAGTACCCCGACTTCATGATGAAATCAGACAAGCCACAATACCGATCGGAGAAGATCATCGGGAAGTTGTTTCGCCAGTGTCAGGCCCTGGATAATGCGCAGCGCTTTAGCCCTGATCCGGTCGTGGAAGACGACAGGGTTGACCAAGACTTGTTCCGCGAGGGGTTTCAGTCTTACACCGACGACGCACAGGCGCAACTGAACATCTACAACACAAAGATAAGGTCCATCATGTCTCTGTACGGCATAGCCAGTGAGGGAGAGGTAGTGTCAGGCTGCATTCTCAAGGTCAAGCAGCGACTGGGTCTCCTGAGGAACGAGCGTTTCGAAGTCACTGAATACGTCAGGGCGAGGTTCAAGACTCTTTGGAGGAAGACTCGTGCTGAGTTCTTCCGACAGTTCGAAGAGGACGAGTTACCCTCGGACAGACGCAGGGAAGAGCAGCTGAAGAAGGCCTCGGCCTGGTACGTGGTCACCTATTCTGACGACTACAGCAACAAACCCCACGGAGCATCGCCCAAACTTCTCAGCTTCCCCTGGGTGGTGCATGACGTACTGGGAGGTCTGAAGAAGAGCGCTCATGGGCTGGAGCCAGGAGAAGTCTACCAGGAAGACATGAACAAGGCCGTCGTGTCCATCTCCAGAAGCGTGAAGGGACACTCTGATTTTCAACTCACACGAATCCAAGAGGCCCGAACGAAACAGGAAGAACTTTTTCGAAAAATACAGGCGGAAATTGAAAGTTTTGTGGATGGCGTCAAACTCACACTGATCGGTCCCGGCCTGACGAGGATTTGTGACGACAACTCAACAGTTGAAATCTTCATTTCACAAGACGACGGCGCACAGGAGGAAGACGTCTCCGACCAGCAAATGCTCAATTCAGTTTTCCATGCCATTAAATCTAAGCTGAAGGAGGCCACTCACGTAAAAGCAGGGGAGGGATTGACGTTTCTGTTCAAAACAGGACCAAGAACAAAGTCGACAGTCCACATGACGTCCTCGCTGCTCTACCTAAGGAGGACGGCTTACATCAACCTCCACACAGCACGGCGCCCGGACCTACTGGCGGTGATACATGTTTTAATGGACTGGGCACGGAAGTTTCGCATCTGCGGAAAGAGCAGAGACGACATCGTCCCGGAGGAGGTCCTTATTCTGCTGTTTCTGAGCTTCGCGGAAACGCACGGCTTCATCCCAAAAGTCCTGGATCCGGATACTCAGGCGGAAAGTCAGGCGATCATCAGAGGCAGTCCCTCAACGCCACCAGCAGGTGACCACTCCACGGTTGATGGAGTTTTGCTGCTGAAGTTCTTTGAACACTTCAGCTCCATCTCCAAGGAGGAGTTGCTGAAGCTATCAGACCCGTCGACGAGTGTATCCCGACCGTTGCTTGAGCACATCTCCCAGGCTAAAAAGAAGAAGCTGCGAGACAACATGCTTCACGCCTACCATGACGTGGCACAGTCCGCCGGAGTGCTCGGCCTCCTCGGTAGGCAGATGACGACGCCGGGACACCTGGTCCTGAACCTGTCTCGAGAAAGTTTCGGTTCTGTCATGCACGCGGAAGAGTTCAATGCGATTCGCCTTTCGGACAAGACGGGAGCGCAGGTCGCCATCAGGCGCCGCATGTTCCGGGACACAGTGGGCCTCATCCTGGAGGCGTGGGGCGATCAGGAGGCTCTCAGGCGAGTTGAGGAGGAAGTCGAACAGATGGAAATGAAATCCAAACATGTTGTTCCTACCTTTTCTCTACAACATTCGTACGTCGAAGGAGGGCATACCGTGTTGTTTGAAGGCTATGCGTCGCCAAGTGGCAAGATCAGGATCCAGTCTTATAACGGGGAAAGAAATCCTGACCATGACAAGAAAACATTGGCCTCGCCTTACCTGTTACCAGGCAGTACAGGAGAGAACGGCGCCGATTTTGATTTGTTCCTGAAAACCGTGCGGCGACAGGGTAAGCGTGTAAGTGACGATCACGACGAATCAATGCACGGCGAACTGAGGGCGATCGCGCGGTACGGCAATGTGTACATGTACAACACGTCACACGTGCCGCCAACGATGACCGTTGAAGAGTTTGACCGTGACCTGAACAAGGGCCACCGGACTGCTGATGACTTCCTCAGTGGCGCCAATGCCGACGGCATGAGAGGTCGGGGTCGTGGCCGAGGGAGGGGGCGAGGACGGGGGATGGGCAGGGTCACCAACCCCTTTATGCGTCATTCGTTTATCCCGTCCGCGGCCACGAAGGACGTCCTGCAGAAATTCATGGAAACGTTCAACTTTGAGGAGTTCACGCGCACAGAGAAATACAACGTGTCCTGCAGGTTTGAGCGGCGCGTGGAAAACACTTTCATCCTTGACAAGGATCTGAAGTTCCTCGAGTACCGGCTGTCCGATGTGAAGTGGATGGCGTTGGACCTCAAGCGGCGCCCCAGAAGCAGCATCCATCCTTTCGGGACCGACATCCGCTTCAAAATTCAATCACGTCGCATTCTGAGGGGAGACGAACTCGAGAAGAGCGAGGAGTACAGGAAATTCTTGGACCCCAACCACAAAGTCTTGGAGCAAGGGCACGGGTATTTTATCTGATCTTTTTATAAAACATATTTAGCCCAGTTTGAATGAGTGCTGCAAATTTTGCTGTAAGGTTTTTGAGTCGCCCTTTATGCATTGAATATCTATTGAAATAGTAGGCCATCCGAAGAGGTAATCCAATATGCTTTGTCTCTCTCGTTATTTAGCTACGGTCTTCGAGATCTCCACGGAGAACCAAGCCTCCAGATCCACCCTGACTACAGAGGCAAGGTCCACTTTGCCCGGAGAAAGCTCATCCGTAGGTTCCGGGCAGCTGATGACGTCCAGCACAGCCGCTTCAGGACGGATGTAGAGGTAAGGGCGAGGCATGAAAGAAACACCAAGAGACATGCAATAAATCTCATCACGTAGCTAGCTATGCCTGTGCGTTTCAGTGCATGTTGTCGCATAGTGCTTTTGCCGAGCATAACTCAAGAATCTATGGATGGATCGTGATGATTTGGTACTCGTATTTAGGTAGGTCTTGGGAAGAAGGTCAATTTTGGGACTCTTATTGGCTTCCCTTGTATCTTTGCTGCAAGCCAGACCAAACTATATTTTCTTGTTCTTCTCATACCAGGTGCGCCTGACCGAGGTGTGTGAGTACTCTCGCCCGGACCCCAGCGGACGTTTCAGCAGCGTCATCCCCGGCCGGCAGGAGGTCACGGTCATCCCGCCGCTGCCTGACTGGACCAGCCCCGAGGAGGTGGAGACCTTCGCGCGGGAATATTGGCAGTTCTGTCTCGAGCTCGGAGACACCTTGTATCCGTAAATGTACATTCGTGTACGTTTGGGGCGCCAGTGTAAAGCAGTGCATAGTCACTGAACTGGTCTACTGTGACTAAAGAAAAACAGAAAATTTTCTGTACATGTGCTAATATATGAATAAATCGAGATTTTACATTAAGACACGTTTAACCAAGTACCACACTTTCAAATGTGAACGTCGATTGACTTAGTTGCCGAATGTTGTAAATAACAAACAGCTGATTATTGTGTGACATAGAAAGTACATTAGCGGAAACAGATGATGTTTTTGGGTCTCATGTAAAAATCCTAATGTGTTATATACGTTGGGAATATGTCTGATGTGCTGTGATTTCTATAAAACAACATTTGAATAAATATAAAAAATTTTGTAATAATGGGAATAAAAATTATTTTCTAAATTCAATTGCATTTGGGCAAATGAATGAGTTTATATATAATGGAAGCGCTGCAATTTCGAAGGCTGATGTCAGTGCGAATTTCGGTGAGATTGCTATAATGAATTTGAACACGATCCCGTATCCGTGACCAGACGGAAACTCCCGCGATGACTCATTGGGATTAACCTGTGGTTTCGACAACATATGGGAGGGACCGAAACTATCCTGGTTTCGGTCTATTCAGATTTCAGAAGTTCCGTCTCAGTTCCAGTATTCCTGGCAGAAATCGTGAAGAACTCCGGGTAAAACGCGGGGCGGTTACGTGAGGAAAAGGCGTGCCGATCTTTGTCAGCAGAGCTCAAGTTCACAAACGATCGCGTGACGTCAGCAATGACACTGTGATCACGGGACTGAACAGAACAACAACATTGAAACAGGTGAGAATGTGATGTGATTTCTAGCTTGCAGAAATCAGTGTGTCGTCGATCAGAAGCTTCCCAGCTTTTCAGCTGCTAAACTTTAATTTGTAGATCAGCCAAATGGACGGAGGTAAACGGTTTCAATGTGTTTTGAGCTTTCATTAGCTGTTTTAGTGGGCGGCCCATAGCAACGCTGACGGGAAGTAATGCTGTGTGTAAATAGCTGGCGCCAAACGCCCTGCGCCGTGGAGAGTTCTTTTCAATAATTTGGCCAGGATTAATTGGTGATATTTGTTTTTATTTGAATGGCACCTAAATCAAAAAAAGTGAATGTTGTTTACAGCAGACATGGCGGCAGGACAAGATGCAGGATTGGAAGGCGAAGAAGGCCTCACCGCCGGACTTCAGGCTCTTTCTATCTCAACACCTGCGACTGGCCGGGCGCCTGTTCACCTGCAGCCATTCGTCAAAGGAGGCCGTGTCATGGTGTTAGAAGGTTTTACGTCGCCGTACGACAAGCTTAAGCTCCGGCCTTATGACGGGCCCAACAATCCCGATCATGACAACAAGACATTAGTCTCACCTGGCCTGACAGCAGAGGCACTGTACAGTACAGGGGAGGGCGGCGCTGACTTCGATACATTCCTTGAAGCCTTGCAGCAGCAAGGGAAGTGTGTACGTGACGAACATGACGAAACAATGCACGGCCACCTGAGGGCGATCGCGCGTTACGGCAATGTGTACATGTACAACACGTCACACTTGTCGACAATAATGACTGTTGAAGAGTTTGACTATGACATGAAAAAAGGTCAGCGGATTAAAGATGGTGACAGTGGTGACAAAGCTAATTCCTACGGTCGAGGCCGTGGTCGAGGAAAACGGGGTATGCGAAAGAACACTGATCCCTATATGCATCATTCTTTTATCCCGTCGGCGGCCACGACTGACGTCTTGCAGAAGTTCATGGAAACCTTCAACTTTGAGGAGTCCACAAGCATAGAGATTTACAACGTGACCTGCAGGTTTGAGCCCCGGGGTGTGGAGAACACTATCATCCTCGACAAGGATTTGAAGTTCCGCGAGTTTCGCCCGCCCGGCGATAAGTGGATGGTGTTGGACCTAAAGCGACGTCCCAAAAGCGACGCCTATCCGTTCGGGACCGACATCCGCTTCAAACTTCAGTCATGCCGCATTCTGAAGGGAGACGAACTGGAGAAGAGCGAGGAGTACAGGAAATTATTGGACCCCGACAACAAAGTGTTGGAGCAAGGGCACAGGTATTTCTCTCGACTTTTCATGAAACATATTTAGCCCAGTTTGCATGAGTGTTGCAAATTTGGTTGTATTACAGTTAAGTACTACGGTTTTTAAGTCGGCTTTTTGCACCGACGATCTATTAAAACTAGGGCATCCGAGGAAGTAATCCGATGTGTTTTGCCGCTCTCGTCTTGTTCAGCTACGGCCTTCGAGATCTCCACGGAGAACCAGACCTGCGGATCCACCATGACTACAGAGGGAAGGTCAACTTTGCCCGGAGAAAGCTCATCCGACGGTTCCGAGCAGCTGATGACGTCCAGCACAGCCGCTTCAGGACGGATGTGGAGGTAAGGGCGAGGCATGAAACTTCAAGCGTCGCGTGACAGATTGGATCATGAATCTTTATGTTGCTCAAACACGCAACGACAATTGCATCGGTCTTCCTGATTATTACCTTCTTAAAGTTGTCATTGCTTTTGGTGCGTCTGTGTCTACCTGTTTCTGTATGATCCCCATACTTTTGCAAGTATACCCCCCCCCCAAATGATTGCGATGATACGTAAAATGTGGATGGGCCTTGGGAAGACGAAGGTCAAGGTCGATTTGGGGCCTCCTAGCGGCTTCCCGTGTTGCTCAAACTAACTTAAACCAAACCAAACCAAACCAAAGAAGCCAAACCCTAACTTATTGTTCTTCTCATACCAGGTGCGCCTGACCGAGGTGTGTGAGTACTCTCGCCCGGACCCCAGCGGACGTTTCAGCAGCGTCATCCCCGGCCGGCAGGAGGTCACGGTCATCCCGCCGCTGCCAGACTGGACCAGCCCCGAGGAGGTGGAGACCTTCGCGCGGGAATATTGGCAGTTCTGTCTCGAGCTCGGAGACACCTTGTACCCGTAAATGTACATTCGTGCATGTGCAGAGCACCACTGTAAAGCAGTGCATAGTCAGCCACTGAGCTGGTCTACCCTGACTAAAGAAAACAGAGATAAATGAATTAATTGATAAATTAATAAATAAATAAATAAGTGAATAAATAAATATAAGTGTGTTTTGTAGCATCAAGATTGTACTGTTAGATATATACGTTAAGGCAATGAGCACACCGATAGACTTAAATAAACGGAGTTATTTTGTGACATAGAAATAGGTGTTTTTGGACACCATGTAGACAGCTTTTTCTGTTATACCGTAGGTCGGAAATATGGCTGATGTGCTGTGATAACTACGACAGATATATGGGACGTGATGGCAGTGCATATCGTCGGTAAAAAATGACCATGGCGTTTTTTTCCAACTTAGGGTGAATTGGGGCTGATGAATGCGTTTAATGGTTGCATTACATATCATCTTGAATGGACGATACAAGAACTTTCTTAAACTTAGTGCGTGCACTGCTTTAAATGGATGTGACCTACTAGTATTTTGCCTTCTTCGATCACATTAATTATATACTTGTATACTGGGGCCACGATGTTCAGATTTTATCAGTTGTGTCTATATTGTTTTTGCTCGGACATGAGATGTAACGTTACATGCTCATCATATCAACACATATACAATGTACTTGTGACTTAAGTTACACTTGTTTTAAGACGTGAGGCATGAAAATTTTAAATATAGTTGTTTAGAACTTGTTTTCTTGATTTTATTTTCTTCTTCTTGTTAGCTTCATAACATAATATAACGTTATTTACTATATAACGTTACTTCATGATTAGGCAGGAATATGCAATGAAGTTAGATCATTGTCATTGTTCTAATTTTGCGTGGTAATTCACCTTAGTCTTTATAGTTTTAGTAAGATATTGCTGTATCTCCTGCTTTTTTAATGGCCTGTACTTGGCTTGAAAGAGCACAACAAACGTAGAATAAAGTCTTCTAAGCATTCATTCATTCATTCATTCATTCATTCATTCATTCATTCATTCATTCATTCATTCTCAGTAATTACAATGAGAGAGAGAGGGTGAGATTGAGTGAAAGTAGCTATAGGCTGTCGGCATTTGTACGATGATTTCGCCACTGTTGCATGTACATCGGCGTAGCTTTCCTTTGCGGTAGCCTCCTGTGCAGGGGTGCTAAGCTAGTCATGAATTGAAATATCCACACTCAGGCATTCAGCACTACTGACTTAGTGCACTAGATGTCGCTCGTGCACGGGTCCGGTCGGTCACGTGCCGAAAATCGTGCTCCAGTGCGCGCGCGCGGACCGTCCGAGTGGTATCAAATTACGAGGGTGCACACTAGAGCGGAGGAAGGGCATCACAACTACACAAGTCATGCCCAATAAAACCAAGAAGGAGAAGGTAAAACTCAACCATCTTTTTACCGAACGTTCTTAATGTACTCTTCTGCATGTAGGGATAGTTTAGGGTGATGTTGTTGGGCTGACGATGGCGGATTTGAGCCTGTAATGAGACCCTGTTTACGGGTTGAGCTTCCCGGAGCGGATCCGCTTCTTGCAACACTCAACAGGGCGCATGAAATCGTCGGGTTTTGATATCATTCTCTCCGTGTATCGCTCCGCAGGCTCCTTGCAAGAATGCCGTTGGGGCGAAGAATTCCGGAAAAGAAGGAGGGGAGAACTCAGAGGAGGTAGGTCGCAGAAAGTCGTACCATATCAACCCAGGCAGTTGTGTCGAAGTGGGTCGTGTCTGTTCAAACATGGCGGCGCCCTTACTACCAGTGGCCCCATTGTTGATTTGCTGTGTTGTTGATAACTAAACCTCCACTCAAACTATAACGATTAGGCCCCCTATCCTCCCCCTACCCACTTCCCGTAGTCGTAACACAGACGTGGAAACTGTGCGTGTAAGAGTAGTGGCAGTTTTTCGGACGGGGTGTGTTGTATTTGTTTATATGACAGGCTAACAGAAACCGTGCGGCGACCAACAACGTCCCCCCTCCCACCCAGCTCACCAAAATCAAGCTGACCGGCGGACAACAACATGTGGTCAAGAAGGACAAGCGACAGAGCTCCTCCAGGTTCAACATCAGCAAGAACAGGGAGCTACAGAAGCTACCAGCGCTCAAGGGTGAGTGTGAGAGAGTTTTTCTTTCGTTAAAAGAACAAACAACAAATGACAGATGTCTGGATTTGAACTTAATACCTGGAGATTGTACGTCTCTGCATGAAACCAACTTCAAATGTATGGAAAAGGTTCGTGTAATGATGTGTGTTAAAGAGCACCATTGAAAGTGTGAATCAGGATGTCATCATAATTTATGTGGCCTCACAGTTGAATGGCATTCATAATCATAGCATTTTATGTTGCTGCACAGTTGAATGGAATTCATAGAGTAAGATAGAAAGGTAGCTGAAAAATGATGTTACTTTCATTCATTGTTAACTTAAAAGTTTATACACGAATGTTGATAATCTTAGTGTTGTCATGATAGTTATATGCTAGTGTGAGTGTACACGAAGCAGTGCTCAAAATACATGTACTGCAATACATGATTCAGAACATCCTACAGTATGTGATTCATAATGTCAAGTCTGAATATTTTTGGCCATTTTGACGCTTTTCCCCCCAAACATGTCAGGCTTAGATTTTGGTGATAATGTAATTTTCACTGGAAACAGTTCAGAGGAACTGCTAGAGGAAGAGACCACATGCTGTAGTCAGGACCTGAAACTCCTACCTGCATGGTGCAGATAAGAAAAGCTGAAAGTTCAGAAATTTGGAGATGAAGAAGAGCTGTGTTATCAAGGACCATGCTGTCAAACTCCTGTGTGTGGATGATGGCACCATAATTTGCTATCAAAGATGACAGAAATGATCTCTCTCTCTCTTTCTCTCTTTCTCTCTCTGCACTTTGTAGAATAATATTTGAAACTGAAAGCACTTTAGACATGGTGAATTCTTTATGCAGCTAGAAACAATTACCCATAGATGGCAGCAGTGCTAGCTGTGTGAAAGTTACACATTCCTTCCATGATATAGTAATTCCATTATGTTTCTTTTTAGATATCAAATGTCACCTGAAGTACAGTAGTGGTGACATGTTTCTACTGCAGTGCTTCCCTTGCCAGCTTTGAACATTGAGTCATTGATAGAATAGAGATCCACTAAAGTGAAGTGTCTTGGGTCATCGTAGACAATTTTTACAAATGCTGGATGAAATTTTGGCAGCTTACAATATTATGTAGGTGAAGAAAAGAATTATGAATCCTGTTGCATGCACTGTGTTTCTTCCTGAAATATAGTACAATGCAGAGAGAATATACACATGTGCATCTGCAATCTTAGCAACAGTTTATGAATGAAAAGACATGTAAAGTGAGTGTCATTATATAATTTTTCAAACAGCTGTTTTTTGGAAAGTCAGATTTGGCATGATAAGAAGCGTGACTTGCATGTTGTGGTGTGATTTGATGACTGGAGGGGATTCAGTCCCCATGGTATGCTATCCCTGTCCAGAACTGATATAGTCGTACAATTGACACCCTGGTGCATTGTTGAAATGAAATTTTACCCTTCTTGGAAGGTCAAGGGTTGATCCTGGGTCATAGGTCATATGGATGAAGAACTTCCAAACAAGGGCGGGAACACTTTGTTGCCATAGTGTCGGTTGACCTAATATGGATGTCTGAGATTGGGTGTCCATGTGTCTTTCAAATGTTCGGCATGTAAAGTGACTGGAGGTTTTGTCAACAGCAGAGAGGACTTTACAGGTGAAAGGTAGATCCTAACATGATATGTGCTGATCTTCTGGTAGGACTAACACTAAGGGGCAGCTCATTTGTGTGCACTGACAACAAGTCAGTATTGTATCCACCAACCTGTGTCAGTGGCATACCACTGTCACTGCAGAATCTGTAATATAACAAAGTTAATCTGTAACCACATGTTAGGTCTGTTTTTCAGTTACATTGAAATAGTACAAATGAACCTGGTATACCATATGGTCCTGGATTGTGGTGTTTTCTATGGAGGTGCATGGCAGTTACTGTTGCCAGAGAGAAGGAATTTTTAACTGTTACTGTTAGGATACAACAACCTGGTAACAGTTTCTTTCTGAGATGACTAAGAGTTGTGTTTTTGTGGGACATTACAAATTGAAAGCAGCTGACAGCAAACTTACCTGGAAGTAGGATAAAAAATAGGTAAAGCAAGTTGTTTTATATATGATCATGACTTCTCGGAGTTTCAGTTGGCTTCAAGGTATCACAATGATAGTTCTCTGGTCAAATGTAAAGATGGACACTGGGCATTCCTCACTTCAGGGGTTGATGCAATATTCTCAGGCTCTAACTAAGGCTTTTAAATTTAATCTATATCACTTATCACTATCTGGTTAGATTTCTCATGAGAAGAATTTATGATATTAATGCTGCAGGAACACTGACTGCAGTTTACATGGGAAGATTCAGACAGATGGTAGACTTGTTAGAATAACTGTTTCTGCAAAATGTTTCTGCAAATGGCTATGTGCCGTGCTGATAACAGGCAGGAGTTTTACCAGCAGTCATTCAGACTTATCTGATCAGGGTAAAGGGGGAAAGTAGAGCAAAAGCCAAGAGCAGGAACAAGTTAACTGAAGGTAAGAAGGATGGTCTGTCAGGTTGGTCTGAACTGGTTTGTCAGGTTCCACTGACATGGATACCTTTGACCTCCATGGGGTCCTGTCAAGTTCCTCCTTGCCAGAATAACATCCACCTCCTTACAACACTGGATGCCAAGAACCCCAGTAAAACAAGCCCTGCCCAGCTATGGGGGAGATATGTAGGGAATGTTTCAACCAGCATAGAATTTCTCTGGAGCCCGCCACGCTGGGGGTGATGCCATTACTTGTTGGTACCAACACTTGTTCCTGGGAATAGTGTTACATTTTTCGGACCGTTGGTTGGGAGGTTTGCTTTGGCCAGCTCCTGCTGACTGCACATGGCTCTGTGATTCCACCCAGGGTTCCTCTCTGGTGAACATCATGAATGAAAAGTCTGTAGACCCTACAGTATAGGAGGGTGAGCTGTCCTGTCACTGGGACTGTTTCCCCACACTGATAAGTTGGTTGTTTGTGCATGTGTTGGTGTCAGTTTTGGACACTCTGATTCTGTCAGATGATAGTGCAGGAGAGCTGAGGTCTGAAAGCTGTTACCACTGCTGTAGTATATCATGACTAGGATCTATTTTCATGCTGCTATTATCAAGTTAGTTGTACTATCTGGAGTTTCAGATGTCAAATTGGGCATGATTTAGATCCAAAGATGTGTTTTTGCTGCCTAGTACATTCCCAATCCCATTCATAACTTATTCATATTTCTATGCTTTAGACTTTAGTATAATGGATTTCAAGAGACTCCATGCCACAAGCAGATTTGAACATACCTTTAGATACTTCCCAATGGTATGTTATTACAAAGGATACTGAAATCCACATGACTAGCCCTACCTAATTGTAACAAGATATTATAGATTTATGTATATCAGCCCATATTGTCCAGTAAATAGAATTTTAAGATCTATGTTTAATTTCTATCTTGTAGTTTGTGTTTGATCTCACAAAAGTGGTTGTACTTTTTGTTGTATCAATAAAGCTTCTTTTATCTGTTTTTGAGTACATTTCCATAATCCTGTACGTTATCATAGTAAATGTCAAAACTAACACCAGTACTTACATTGCCCTAAAAGTGGAGTCTCCAGTCTTTTCTCAGGATAAGTCTCCATCATTCATTGATGCACCACACTCAAGATAGCACTCAAAATAGCACTGGTAAGTCGTGACTAAGGCTCCGAGTGGGAGATAGCAATATATTTGTGGCTTGACCCAACATTATTTCCCCATAAATCTGACATTTGCAGCAGTCTTGACCCTGCATAAAGCAGGGTTATAGATTAGGTAGTTTTAGCAGGTTAGGCTTAGGTCTGATCCCAACGTGTGTTGATTCCAGCTATTTTGGGCTCCATTAGGAGGAGAAAGTCTCTGTACACTTCGCCCCATTGAATGAGTAATCGTAATCTGTTGAAGTAGCGATCTGTGGCTGGTGTGTACTGATGCTTCACTTGCTTTGAAAGCAAAACGCTTTTATAGCCTGTTATCATTGCAAATACTTGGTTTACATGTTGCAATCCATTAAGACATGGGGAGATGGGAGCAGTTTCAAAGGATTTTGTCAACATTGTATGGATTATTTGCAGTAAGGTTATTGATGATGTAATGTTGTATACAAAGTGTTATGTTCTGGCTCCTGTATGGATCCAGAGGTACAAGACCTGAAACTGGACAAGCCTCAGCCTGCCTAACAGATCAATCAAACAAATTGCCTAACTGAACTTCCCTTTAACAGTGATACTAGTATGATATTTCTAACAAATGTTCTCAAGCAAAAGAAGGTGATCATGAAATGAAAATGGTTTCTGAGTATTCTGACACGCTGTACCATATTGTAACATTTTATGAAAGTGCTGGACATTTTTCATTTGGCAGTGGCACTGCAGCAGAATCTTTTATATCTCGCGTTCTGGACATGTTAAGGCATGATTTTTAGATGGGATATAGTTCTTGTCAAACAGGGTTTGACACATGGTAGTCATGTTGAACTTGGATGTGCTACTGCCTTGGCTAAGTACTCCTATGAAAATCCCTGTATACACTTCAAGCATCAATTCTAGAAAGGTCAGTGGATGTCATGGGGAGGGCTAACTAGAACGGATAGGTTTTGTTGTGCTGAAACACGGTCAATACGTGCTGCGCTGCACACACTCCCTCTTGTTGACTTAAGCAGAAAATGGCAACCTTTGGACCCGATTTATTGGTTCTCATTGTTGGGTGAGGTTGGGAAAACATTGGTTTCCTTGTCAAGTACGATGCATAACAATCCTCGGCTCTGGCTTTCCTTTGTAAGTTGTTACTGTGGAGAACATGTGAATTCTATCGTAGGGCATAGGGGAATTCATGGCCTATTCTTACACTATAAACTATAGTCAGCCCATTTTCAGCAAGAGATATTTTGATGTCAGGTTGTTGTATCTCCTCTGTCTCATCACAGTGGTCGAAATACTTTTTTTCAGTGCTCTGCAATATTGCAGAA